TATATATATATATACACATATACACATATACACATATACATACATACATACTGTAACCACACGATTATCCAGGATTCGAACATCTGGAAAACGCCCTTATATGGCCAAAATCGTGACTGGATAAAGTTATCCAGCCAAAATGACCATGGGAGCTGGATAAAAGCTGGTTTAGCCGGATAAAAAATCAGAGCCGGTTAACTTGCTGCAGATGTTGCACTATCCGGAAAGTCAGTCGGATAATCATTGAATTGTCTGGATATGATAGCCATGGGGCGGGCCGTACCGTATTAATCCTGTCTGCCTGTGGCTCGAGACGCATGGTGGAGGAGGGGGTGGGGTGGGAGGGGAGCGTCGGGAGGGACCACCTGGGTACAGGAATTACCATTAATTTTAGAATAATTCATCATAGCCAAAAACAAATGAAATACTTGTAATTGTGTAATAAGAAATATATAAGTTTCCTAAAAACAATGTGCACAGGCTGAAGTTTCCTTAAAAAATATTGTGAGTTTTTTCCTCCTGGCAGCCTACGTAACGTGCTATAGCTGCCCCAAGTGGACCCGTCTAACACTGGTCAACCCATGTGCCTCATTCCTCTGTTCGCGGATTGGCCAGTCGTCACCGACTCGTCAAGTATCTGCCTGACGTATGGACTCCTGGCCATAGACATATTCGTGTCGGCATGGTCTAGGTGTCGCCCATTCTATGTGGCGCCCTTACCCGCCTGCGAGGCATTCACAGTGGATGCTTTTCGATAGGACTGGTCGAGGTGGGGGTACCTGTTTCTCTTCTCCCGGTCCAGCTGTTGCTTCGGGTTCTGGCTCGGTTTGAGTCCATTCCCAAGGAGAGTAGTCCTCATGGTCCCTTGATGGCCGGCCCATCTTTATTTTCAGATGCTGCTTGATAGGTGTCTGAACCTGGGGGTTTTCTCACGGCTCTGCCTCTTTCAGCAGATCTGGCCAGTCCATTAGGTAGCTGGTTTGATCTTCTCAAGTATTTGCATCTGGTATTTCTGACGCAAGTCTACCACCATTTGTAAGGTGAGCTGGTGGCCTCATTGATGGTGTCTCACCTGTGTGCTTCGTCTTGGTGGCAGTATAAAGTTTCCTGGAGGTCCTTTCGTTATTTCTTATCCCACCGTAGATTCTCTTCTGTTTTGGATCGGGTTGTCTTGTCCTTCCCTTCTTGGTTGTTTCAGAACCGTCATCTTATACTGAATACCATCGCCTCGTATTGTGTGGTGCTAGTGGAGCCACTTCAGCTTACGTTCGGGGTGTATGTTACTTCTGCTCCATTCCGCAAGCTGTCTTGTGCGTTGTTTCACTTCCGGCCTGCTCATGCGCTGCTTAACACTTTAGTCCGGGCATGACGCAGCATTGCGTCATCCGTTTACTGTCGGTAATCTTGGGGATGGCGCAATGCTGCGTCATCCACTAAAATAATTGCCAAAAATCAGGTTTTTACCCAATTTTGGGGGGACTGTTTGGTAACTGTCAACAAGCCAAATGCAATCTGTGACTACAATACAAACATGAAAGGTGTTGATCACTTTGACCAAATGATCAAATATTATCACTTCATAAGGAAAACTCACAAATGAACGAAGAAAATGACCTTCTATTTTGTGCAAATGGCTATCTACAATGCTTATGTGATGTACAACTACTACACAAAAAATACTAAACTATAATACTAAATATACTAAAATACTAAATACTAAACATTTGTGGGCAGGAATTGGGAGTGTAGCTGGAAGGCGTCTGGGCACTCATTCGCGGTTAACGCGTGGCCCGTCTTCAACTCGTCGGCGGGTGGAGCGTGACCAGGTTTTTTATTTTATATGCTAATATTCCTCTAGAGAATTCCATTGTGAACCCATTGATACCAAAATGAAAAACCTAGGACGAAAATTGAGGTGACCAGAGTGAAAAGAGTGAACATATTTTATCGCTTTTGCGCGCTCCTGGGTAACTCGTTTGCACTTTCTCTGTTTGCTGCGGGTAATTAGCCGGGCTTTTGGAGTTTATATGCATTTAGTGCTGTAGAGAATTCTATTGTGAACACAATGATACCAAATTTAATCTCGTAGGACGAGAATTGAGGTGACAAAGTTGAAGAGAGTACACAGTACATATTTTAAACAGTTTGAACACATTTCCTTTTCACAGAATTTTTAATACAATTGGGGTGTAGATAACAGCTAGCATTGTGTGGCCGGCCGGTCGCTCCCTGAGCCATTGGGGGGTGGGGGGTGGGAGGGGGGAGGTTTGTTTCCTGGATCCCTCCCTCCCTCCCTCCCTCCCTCCTCTAACAGCCTACGTACTGTACTAATATCTATTTAGAATAAATTTTGAGTAGACCAATAAAACAAGCACAGGTCGTGTGAACGTTAGGCCTTGGTGAGGTGGCTGACATCATTTGTGGTGGTGTCAGGGGAGGCAGGTGGTTTCAGGGGAGGCAGGTGGTGGCAGGGGAGGCAGGTGGTGGCAGGGGGAGGCAGGTGGTGTCAGGGGAGGCAGGTGGGGTCAGGGGTGGCAGGTGGTGGCAGGGGGAGGCAGGTGGTGTCAGGGGAGGCAGGTGGTGGCAGGGGGAGGCAGGTGGTGTCAGGGGCGGCAGGTGGTGACAGGGGAGGCAGGCGGTGTCAGGGGAGGCAGGTGGTGGCAGGGGGAGGCAGGTGGTGGCAGGGGGAGGCAGGTGGTGTCAGGGGAGGCAGGTGGTGGCAGGGGGAGGCAGGTGGTGTCAGGGGCGGCAGGCAGTGTCAGGGGAGGCAGGTGGGGTCAGGGGAGGCAGGTGGTGTCAGGGGAGGCAGGTGGTGTCAGGGGAGGCAGGTGGTGTCAGGGGAGGCAGGTGGTGTCAGGGGAGGCAGGTGGGGTCAGGGGAGGCAGGTGGTGTCAGGGGAGGCAGGTGGTGTCAGGGGAGGCAGGTGGTGTCAAGGGAGGCAGGTGGGGTCAGGCGAGGCACGTGGTGTCAGGGGAGGCAGGCGGTGTCAGGGGAGGCAGGTGGTGGAAAGAGGCAGGTGGGGTCAGTGGTGGAAGTAGAGAGAGAAGGGTGCTGACCACGGATGGCTGCCAAACCTCTCATTCATTCTCTATTATAAATCTCAATCTTAGCTGTAAAATATTTATGCCAAAATATGTTGTATTAATATACATTATTAATCATTAACATGTTTTATTGTTTCCTGTAGAAAACAATAGCTGACTTGGCATTGTGGTGTGTATGGCCGGGTAACTGGCGGGTGGGGGGGGTCCTGGAGGTGTGAGAGGAGACCTGTCAACCCATCATTTTTTTTTTGTCGGGTGAGTTGAGACGCTTCCAAGCCCGCTGCTTCAATACACCCCATGGATGGTGTGGGTGGTGTGGTGTGGTTTGGGTGGTGTGGGTGGTTGTGGGTGGGTTGGTGTGGTGGGTGCGTGGTGTGGTTGGGTGTGGGGGGGATGATGTGGGTGGTGTGGGGTGTGTGGGGGATGATGTGGGGTGTGTGGGTGGTGGTGTGGGGGATGGTGTGGGTGGTGTGGGGTGAGTGGGGGATGATGTGGGGTGTGTGGGTGGTGGTGTGGGGGATGCTGTGGGTGGGGGTGTGTGGGTGGTGGTGTGGGGAGTGTGGGTGGTGGGGGCGAATGGTGTATACACTTTTCAGAATTAACGCGCGCTCCCGTGAAACGCTGGGACCCAAATCGCACAGTTGAGGGGTGGCGCGCGGGGTACGCCAAAGTGTTAAGCCGCCCTGGTCGTTGGACCGGGTGCTCTCTTTTTCTCTCTCTCCCTTGGTTTGTTGTGGCCCTTTCAGTTCAAGATTGTTTTTCAAAGGCTCTTTTTCTGTTAGCATTGGACTCTGTGGGTCAGGTTGGGGAGCTTTAGACTCTCCTCCGGCGCAGATTTCTGCTCTTTTGGTCCTGGTGGTTGGTTTGTTCGTTTGCAGCCGTCTCCTTCTTTTCTGGCGAAGAAAGAGATTGCTGCTTTCCAAAAGGGTCCTTGGGTTCTTGATGCTTGGTTGGTTAGGCTGGGGGTGCATCATGTGTTGTGTGTGGTTGCTGCTCTTCGTCGATACCTGCACGCCACAGCCTTGGTGGCTGGAGTCACGCTTTGAGTTGACCCAGTTTCCCTTCTTCCATGTTCCAGGGTTCGGGTCTCCCTGGTCATCCACAGGGTTCGTCGGTCCAGCCAGCCTGCAGTCGAACCTCGTGCCCATGATGTTCTTAAGTTTGCTGCATTGACTGCCGTCTTTGGTAATATGTTTTGAGCATTCGGGCACAGGGCTTTTAGAGGTCGAACAGGGTCCTGGCCACTCGCTGCCTTGTCAATGTTCCTGGTCTTAGTCGGGTGTGTGTCGCATTGGGTCGAAGGTTGCAGCGGGTAAGTCCCTCTTGTTTTATCTGTGGTTAAGTAGCTCCGGGGAGCCGAAGTGGCTTCCTCCCAGAAAACCAGCATTGAATGTTATGAAACGCCATTTTCTGAGCGAGGCCCGGAGGCTCTCCGGCAACCCTCCCTTCCCTCCAGTTGGCAGTTTTTCACATCCAGCCTCTGAACTGGGGGTTGACAGCCAAAACAGGGGGTCTGGAGCTCCCACTTTCCCCGCTTGGGAAGGGGGAGGGGAGTTGCGCAGACAGAGGAGCGGTGACAGTTGTGACGTCATGCACGTTTGCTCGTTTTTCGTTTGGGAAATTCTGTCTAACAGTTCGGCTTTCAGTAGCAATTTTTAACCAGATAGGGTTTGTTTGGGGAGCGCCTACCTTTCTGGGTGCCTGACTTGGTCGATGGCAGACATGGAATGCTTCCAACCACATGGGAGTTTCTATAGGCCACTGCTCCTCGTGTCTCTCTCTGAGGGGGTCAGGTTCTGGCTTGTGGTCCTCAGTAGGCCTAAGAACTCCATTCACTTTGACTGATGCCAGGGTCTAATACATTCATATCAGCCTAGATAGCTCTGGGTGAGCCTCTGGGTTTCACCCAGAAAATGGCGTTTCATTATATTCATCGCTGTTTTTTTTCCCCCCTAGATACCATCGTTGGAGAAGAAAACTTTTCATATCTTATCAGAATTAAGAAAATCATGTCCAGCAAAAAATGTTGTGTCAGCATCTGGATATCTTCCATGTGAAGCAGTCGAAGGTAGCTATCACCAATATTTTAAGTGTGCTCACAATTTTGAAGATTTTGTATTGCTTTATTGTAGCTTTCAATGTAAAGTATTGTGAATAAAGTTAACCCTTGCAGTGCATATAACATCATGTGGTGCCTTAGCATTAGTGTGCCGCACATTATGTAATGTTTTAAGCACTTTGCAACAATTGAAACTCCAACTGGTACACAGTGTACCAGATCAGTATTTGAGGCCTCTGGTAAATATCAGCCATCTTGAAAAGGGACTTAGGATTTTTTAGGATATTGTTCCCCAAAAATCCTAAGTCTATTGTTTTTAACAATACTGTATAAGAATACAAAAATCAGCATTGAATCTAATAAGAGGCATCTTTCTGGTAGAGCCTCAGACTCCCTAAAGCTAGGTCACCGTGATAGCTCCGCCCTACTGTGAGTCACTTTAGCCATAGGAGTCCTGTATGGCTTTCCAGGGACCATAGCCTGCCTGACCCCCCCACCCCCTCATAGAAGCACAGGGAGTAGGGGATTGTTATGATCACCATCAGTGAGAAAACTTCCAGAAAGTGAGGCAATACAGACAATTGCAAGGTTCAGAGAGAGAAAACACAGTTTCGCAAACAATTCACTCAAAAACAAGGTCATACCCCATAGTTATGGTTGGCCACCAACAGGTGGCAGTACCATAGGGGGCTCCTGGCTTCCACATCAACATAACCTCAGACCAGAGCTGAAAGACAAATGCACCTGGTAGGGAAGGGAGAGAAGGTAACAGGGAGCCACCGAGACCCATCAGAAACTGGCATTTCATTACATTCAATACTGGTTTTATGGATGTGAGGTGGAGGATGTATATTTATTTTTACTTACAGACAATAATTCAAATCAATAAAGACTCTCCACTTCCTTACTTATAGTACATGTACATTTTCTAAAATTGGATATACAAAACTAACTTAAATTATTGATACACCTCAAATGCGAGAGGAAACATTCAGTAGCCTGCAGAATTATTTTGAATTTGTGGGATTTAAACAAACTAACAGTTTCTGGGGGGAGCCCCGTCGGCTCCCCGGAGCTATCCCAGGCTGATATGCTAATGTCAGACTTTGGCATCAATCATGCGTATGGAGTTCTTAGGCCTACCGGGGACCACGGCCAGAACCGGGCCCCCCCAGAGAGACAAGGGGAGCAATGGCCTATAGAAACCCCCGATTGGTTGGAAGTATTCTATGTCTGCCATCGACCGGATCAGGCACCCAGAAAGGTAAGCGCCTCAAAACAAACCCCTATTCTGGTTAAAATTGCTACCAAAAGCCGAACTAGTGGATAGAACTCGCCAACAGAAAACGAGCAAACTAGTATGACATCACATGTCGCTGTGCCGCTGTCTGCGCAGCTCCCCCCTACTCGGGAGGGGGAAGGGAGAGCCCCAGACCTTTCACGCCAGCTACCCACACCTCAGTTCTTGAGGCTGATGCTATAGGCGAAGGTCGTGTGATCTAGCTCCAGTGTCGCTACAGCACTGTGCTTCGTGTGTGGTGTTTGTTTTCTGTGGGTGCTAGAGCCAGGAGTTATCTTCAGTACTCGGGCTGCATGCGCCTAGGGCTGCCTTCCCTAGGTGCCCTGTAAGTACTGCCCTTGGAGCTTGGGCCACCTTCCACAGGCTCCTCAGGACCTGCCTCTGCTGGTCTGTTCTGCCGTTCGGTTTTTTGGCCACCTGTTGGGCTCTTGGGTGTTCTGTTCTCTCTTGTTACCTGCGGGAAAGAGGCAGTTTGCACTGGTAGGGGCGCAGGGTGCTGCGCAGCTTTGTATTCCCGACATATCAGCCGGCTCTGTTCCTTGGGGTTCGCTATCCTCTTGCAGGGTTTTGTTTTTCTTTTTCTTTTTGCCTTGTGGGGGGGGGGGTTCTTCCCTATTATTCCACTGGTGTTTGCCCTTCCACGGTTCTCCTCGGTGGCACCCCCTGCTAGGTCCCCGAGAGTGTACACGTCCCTGGGGTTCAGCTATAGAGGTTTGCTTGGTAGTTTTGGGTGCTGGTTAGCTGCACCCTGCCTGGGACTACCTGAGCGCGAGTCTTAAAGTAAACGCTCAGGACCCTGGGAATTCCCTAGGGGGGCATGTGGGTCACCCCGGAGTCCCCGTTCGCTTTGTGCGAGTTTGAGGGTTGCTCGGTCCCCTTGTCTCGGGGTGACCGTCATTGTTTTTGCCTCTGCCACGCTGCCAGTTGGGTCGGTGATACTTTCGACCCTAGTCCTGTGAGTGTTGCTGCTTGCTTGCGACTCAGTTTACCCAATCCTCTGATGATTCTATTCGGATACAGGTGGCGCGTGCGTTGCAAGCTAGATTTCATCTGTTGCAATATTCTCGGATTGTTGCTCACCCGGATGCCCCGGGGCTGTCCCGCTTTGCTTTTCGAGACCCGAACTTGGGGGTGGGGGGTCGCTTCAATCCTGGTTCAGTCCCGCACCTCCTCGTCCTTCCCCTCCTGTTTTTCGTTCTGATCCCCCTTTCCCTGCTTCCGGCCCCGAAACGTCTGAGGGTTTCGGAGTTGGAGCAGGGGTTGCTCGATCTCGAGACTCGGGCAGCTTCAGGGGATGCCTCTTCCGGGGGGGCGGCAGAGACTTTAGAGTCTTGTCTCCTGGTCGAAGCTTCTGGGTCTGACCAATGGGCCCTGTTTCTTCTGGCTTCTACGGCTGCTTCGTCCTTGTCTTGTGGGGTCAGTGCTTGAGGAGAGGACTCAGCCCTGGGTCCTGCTGTGAAGGACCTCGGGGCTGGGGAGGGTGTGGGAACCGACCTGTGAGATTTATATTTATTTAATTTATATGAATATATATAGAATTTATATTTACGTTAATTTATATACTTCGATAGCAATTTGTATAATGATAAGTGGACTGTATTTCTGCAATAATCTCTTAATCTCACAAATCGATCCTCTACACATTAGGGGGGTTATTAAATTAATATATATGCAGCCAATCTAACTACAGTAACTACATACATTGAAAAGGTTCCTTATCTTATAGTACAGCAGGTTAGTCCACCAGGTATAACTAGGGTGTAGACACCAAATTATCCTCTTTGAGGTAGCTTCCATATCACCCAGTAACTGGTGCACAAATCTTGCATCCTCGTCTTGACCTGTCAAAAGTGCGCTAGCTGTGAAGCCAGAATCCTATATATGACAAGTATATCAGAGAAAACACTACATGGAACATGAAGACCTGGCTTAATTACCTTTAGTTTGAGGCTTCCACGTAATCTAACCGGGTCACCCTATATCCTGACATTAATGGCCATAAATGAATGATAAACGGGTTTCGGATAGACACTTAACTTGAATTGTAGACATCGTGTTGGAGATGGTACCTTTGGTTTCCATAACACTACGTCCAAGTAAAATTAACAGGAGCCGAATTTGCTCCCGTGTGAGCCTCTGGTCTCAATATAAACAATGGCTGCATCTAACACTCCATTCTATTGACGTCTGGCCGACATTGTCCAGATATGATAGGAGCCAATTTGCTCCACACGTCTCGGAGGTGACACAACAATGGCTGCCCTCCTTCCTCACTCCCGCCTGGCCTACTTTGTCCAGATTTCAGAAAGTGATAGAAGGGTCACATTTACTCTACTTTAATATTGATAATTAAGTTAATTTATATAAGATGTTTTTATGATGGTAAAGTCCAAAGACTAATGTATTTAAGAATAATTCCCAGCAAAATAGCTGGTGAATTATAATAGTATGTGGTGATGATATCCCGTTTTCTATAGACGGTAATTCCACTACAAGTTACGTTTTCTATGGGTAACTTGTTTATACAACACAGCTCTTATCTGTCTGTATGATATATTAAATGCTGTCGGATTTTCCGACATAATTCCCCAGGGGGCTGCTCACGGGTCGAAGTCCTAATTAGAACAGACGAACACCGATACTCCTCCTTCGAATTATTAGATTAATTTGATGTTAGTAGTTAGTAATCACACATTTGTGTGTCTGTTCGTACAGGACGGATGTCCCGTACTAGAGTTGCAGGGGTTAGAAGTCTAATGCGATTTCATTTCCCCGTCAACTCTTGAAAGGCTAATATTCAAGCCTTATTACATATTATTTAACCCAGAAGACTGAATGTGATCAAGTACTACAGTCAAGTATGATTCAGGGACTGCAGTGAGATCAGTGACATTAGATATAACTTGAAGTTTGTTCAGGTAACTAGTCACTGATATATAAACACTGAGGCCCATGGAATACATCTTGATTAAATAATAAATGTATCAAATCAGTCATCAGATTTATTGGGGTTTAATTTAGTTAATTGATTAAGAAGATTGAATAGCTCATCATTAAAGTAAAGTATGGTTCTGAGACTGCAGTGGGTTCAGTGACATTGGTCGCAGTGACTTGTAGCTGTTTTAGGCTACTGTTCGCTGATTTGCCACTGAGGCCTCATGAACTCATCTCCAGCTTCAAATGATGATACTAACATCAACCTCTGTTACTATAGTCAGCTGTAATCTCCTTAGTATAATGCTACTGGAGAAATATAATCAGCTGACAAATTTAGTTTCTATTGGTATTGTTTATCTGCAGGCATAGGTCTCCTCAGGCTTGATACTGGGCCTGAGAGTAATTTACCTCCTGCAGAGTTTAACATGGTTATACCCTGATATTTAGTAGGGCTACCGATGAATTGATGGTAGTAGTCTGTCCCCACAAGGACAGCCATTTGGCATTTGATTTGCTCAAATTTACCTGCAGCTGCTTGATAATAGCTTTCCAGGTCAGCATAATCAACTGTTGATTGTTGTGACAAATCTTCACATTTCTTGATCTGTCTTGTTAAGTGGCCTTTAAGACCTGCAAGGGTTCTTTTCATTCTCCCTGCATTATCCATACTGGCTAGTTGGTAAAGCCTTGTGGGACTTGTACTTGGGCTGCTCATAATACTGAACAAGCTCTAATGGTAGCCTAGGGTAAATTCTGCACTCACTAGGCAATA